TACTTTTGTGTTTCAATATTCTTAATTAGGAGAAGTTGCTACATTCATTAGGGGTGCCAATTGAACTGCAATTTCAGGGGTGTCAATTGCACTGAATTTGGTCCAATCTGATCCAATCTAATGTAAGCCTATTACAAATGGACCAGGCCCAATCCAATCCAACGAATATTTTGGATCATTTTGGACCAGTCCAATTCAATGTCTAAACCATTCAATTTGTTCAAATTCGTTTTAATTTAGATTGGTTTGAATCCAAACCCGATCCTTTAACACCTATATTCTTATCTTATATCAATGGACCAAATATTACTTAATCTAACCCAATCCAATATTATTACAGACGGACCACAACAGACCACAACGTGATATCTGCTTTTGCAATCAAAGCTGATATCACGGATCATTGGTACCACAACTGGCTCAGCCATGGCCATGGTAAAATGATGTTCAAGTTTGTCTTGCATGTTTGGCCCACGTTGATCAATCCAAGTTAAATAAACTTAAAAGAAATACTTGAATACAAACAGTAGAAAAATCTGCCCAATAAAGAAAGTTGACAACATCAGACAGCTTTGGCCCATCATCATGAAGGCCCAGTGCACTAAGCAAAGGAAACGTGAATTACGTTTTGGGCTTTGATCAAATACAAAGACCTCTCCTCTGCTGGTTCGAAAAAGAAATGGGGTTGAAGAGTTAGAAACGGTATGATGATTCAGGCCCATTCGATTTTTAAATGGGGAATAGTCGATTAATGGGATTTTGGTTTTCATTGATCGAGTTATTCATATTTTTTTTTTTTTTTTTTTAAATTTATGTGAGGTTTATGAAAAATTTATTTTTTCTTGAGGTAAGTAAATTTCCCACCTTGGGAAAAGTTGCTAACACTTGGATGTAAGGTTTAAAGTATCGATACGTATCGGCCGATATGTATCGTTCCGGGACCTCTCTAATACGCCCCTATAGTGGGTGTATCGGGGTCTGACTGGTTCAAGGGGTGGAGGAGTCCTAAACCGCCCCCTGAACCGATTTCAAAAAAAAGTAAAAAAAACAGTATCGATTTGTCCGATACACCCCTACTAACGTATTGATATTTTGAACCTTACTTGGATGTGACAAAATTATCCTTTTAATAATGCCTTTTTAGCACTTAGTAATACGTTATGGATAAATATCAATAGTTTTTTAGTATAACTGGGGCTTTTACTAATTAGGTCATCATTAAGTGATTTCAAAATGTACTGTAAAAGCCTAAAAGGGTTAGTCTAGGCATTTAGGCCTTGTTTGTTCGAAGTGCAATTCCATTTGCACTGATTTAAAAGAATGGGAGTGCAAATAAGTTGAGTCCAAATTTTGGTTTATTTTGGCTATGGGTTTTATTTTGTTTTGTTTATTTGTAGTGCAGATGAAGTAGAATAAAACCTAAAGCAATAATGAACTAAACTTTACAATTTTCTAATTTACACTCCCATGCATTTGTACCACTGCAAATAAAATTGCACCGCAAACAAATATAACCTTAATAATTTACATAGAAAAGTTTCAAGGTAATTTAAGCAATTTTGGATTTTCATTAGTCAGTTTAATCAAGCTTCATTTTAAAAATTGAATCTAAAATCGATCATGGGACCTAGGGCTCTCAGATTCGATTCAACTGCAATCAGGTTTTCAGAGCTTTGGGTTTAATCCAAGCCCATTTTATGATCTTTGAAATAAAGAAAGAAGCTAAAAAAATCATAAATAAAGTAGTAACTCTTTAACTTATGCATGTTAAATTGTTAACATATCGAATAAATTTATATAAATACAAAATAATGAATAAATACTATCTGTATATGCTAATGACCCAATTGTCGAGATAGTCACTTGTCACCCATTCAAATAAGGGCGGTGTTTGGAAGCGTGAGCGTTTTTTGAAACTGATTTAAAAAAAAAGCCCGTTCTTCCAAGACCCATTTTTCACAAAAAAATGCTTTGATTTTGTTTGGGAGTGTTTCTGCCACATGGCAGTGAACAACACTATTCTGTTTGGTAAGGTGATTTTCATCACCGTTTTTCATGTATGTGCTGACAGGTAAGCACCGCATAGGATACACGTAATCACCAATCAGTCAACCGTTGGGGGCAACGGTTCATTGATGCATGAAACACCAAATTTGGCGTTTCATGTATCAGTGGGGTCCCGATTTACGAGGCATGCCCATGGTTCAAGCGTTTTTTTTTCAAAAAATGCGTGAACCAAACAATCATATATATGGGCGTTTGTTGAAACGTCTATATGGATCCAATGTAGCACCGTTTTTCAGAAAAACGGCCACAGTTCCAAACATCCCCAAGAGGTGCAGGATCAAACCAACAGAACTGCAAGTTCTCCATGGAGGCGTCCCACATGCATATCTCAGCATGCATTAGAAACATCTCCCACAGTAGAGTTGTCATTAGGAGATGTTTTCAATACACAGTTGGGATGTGCTGTCGAGTGCCCGTGGAACACATTGTGTGGGATGCAGATGCAGATTCAAAGTCGTCTACATCTAATAAATTTAATCAGACTTGAATCTTAATTGGATTAATTGGGGTTGGATCCAGATATGATCCGGTTATTAAATTGATGCAACTTTGAAAATCAGAATTTGATCAGTTATCAATGAAAATGGATCATCCATACCAATTAAATCTTAGATCAGGTCTCCAACTTTTAGACTCCATCGACAGCTCTAGGTAAAATCCTGAACTTCACAGCCATTTCCAGTCCCTTCCAAGTAAGGTTATAAGTATCGATATAGGCCGATATGTTGGTAAATATTGGTATTTTTTGTGTTTTTTAATTTTTTTTTTTAAATTTGGTTTAAAGGGGTCAGTTTAAGGCCCGACTACCCTCTGAATCATGGTCTGACCAGAAACATTCCCTGTAGGGGGCATATAGGAAAAGCCACGATATGATACATATCGGCCAATACAGGCTGATACGTAATGATATTTTGAACCTTGCTTCTAAGTCCTAAGACCCTCCATAGCTGGGACGAACATTTGGCCTTATGGAAACAAAGGCCTAAAAAAGTTGACAAGGTATGTTTTCTTTATTGGCCTACTTATTAAATTACAAATGCACACTTAGGCCTCATTTTCTTTTCGGTAAATAGAGGGGGAAGTTAACCATTTTTTCCGGATTTGTGTTTGGTAACTGTGGATTCTACAATAAATTTATTTTTTCCATAGACATTATTTACCTAGATAATTAATATCCATCTCCTAGGTAAAAAAGTTGTCAAAACATTATCAGACAAAATTCCCTTCCAATAGTGAAATTTATAGGTCAATTGTTTAACTTATTTAAATAAAAATTATGATCAAAAGAACACGGGTAAACATGACTTAAAAAAGGGGTTTTTTCCGTTTAATCCACCCCTAGGTGGAGCTACTAGTAGACTAGGGGTGGACTAAATTCTGTCCATAGATTGATGCCAAATTTACGGGCAGGATGTGGTTTATGGCGGGGGNTACTAGTAGACTAGGAAGGTGATCAACTTTGACAGCATGCTGAGAGAGGCTTAATGTTTGAAGTCTAAGAGGTGATTTGATCATTTGAGGCAATTTAGAAGCTGAGCAACTGCAACACATCCCCTGTACTCTTAGCTTATTCTGTTAGCAAAGAAACATTACTTAGTTTGGAAGGAGTACAAATACAAAATAGATACAAAATAAAATAAAATATCAGGTTTTGCAATCTACATATTTGTATTTGTAATCCTTCCAAACTAACCTTCAATACATTGTGTGCATTACAAATTGGCTACGAGACTTGGGTGTAGCCCTCCAAACCACGAAACTCTCAGTCCCGGGTCAATGCTGGATTTGGTCCCAATCTCTGCTACAAGTCTACAACCAACAAGCTTTCCTTTGTTTTTCTTTTGAAGATTTTTTTTTTACAAAAGATAAAAATACACACATTATAACTGTATATAAAGAAGACCTTTATACATTAAAGGAAAAAAAAAAGAAAAAATAGAATTATTTATGTATGATGACATTCAGATGGATCGATCTGGTTGTGTGTTGGACCCAATGGTAGTGAGTAGAATGAGATTAGTGAGATGGCAAGAATCCTAGATTGCTTAGGCTTCCAAGGAGACTGCAGCGCAAGAAAGCTATCTGATAGAGGTTAATAGAGCCACTAATGTATGAGTTGGATTTGGTCATTCTCTAGGTTGAAAGTATTGATTTAAGGGCCATTTGTTTTTTGAATTTTGTGAGAGCGGAGAAAGTTGGCCAATGAGATTTTGATTCTTATTGACCAAGATGTTTATGTTCTTTTTTTAGATTTATGTGAAGTCCACAGAAAATTTATTTTTCCTAGGTATCACTTATCTCCTAGGTGAACAAGTAACTTACCACCTAGAGGGAATTTACCAACACTTGATAAGACAAAATTGTCCCATTTTTAATGACTTTTTACAGTTAAAACAGTCATTTTTTTTTATTTACCGGGAAAATAAAAGAATATGGATAAATACACTTATCAGGAAACACTTATCCGAGTAAATGCATTTACCTGAATAAGTAACTTCCGAAAAGCAAACAGGGCCTAAGCGGCCAGATGCCCTCAATTTGGAATAACCATAGTGTATAGTTAAATCCTATGGATGATGGCATGGTCTACACTAATGGGTAAATATATTTTGTCTTGTCACCTACTTTCTTTTATTATATATTATTCTTATTTACTATTAATCAAACTATTGCCATGTCAGCATATTACTTGCTAGGTGTGGTCAAAAAGTTTGGCAGCATATTACTTGCTAGGTGTGGGACACTTTTGATCTATGAAGCTGAATAGGTGTAGGTGGTTGATCAATTCTCAGCAATAGAACCACTCCCAAATTTCCAATAGAAAATTTTGTAACATTGTGTACTAGAGGTTTCAAGATAAATAGAGCCCCGTACTGTATAAAAATACATGAGATTCTGAGAAAAATATTCACTTTGTAAGCAGCCTTAGGTCATAAATGAATTTTCTGATTTTATATTAGAGAACTGTGCAGGTGTCTTAGCCCGTTTGATTTATTTACAGGGCCTAGTATCAGAGCCAGATTGCACTAAATTACTATAGACCCTGATACACTGTAACATCACTCTTCTTTTAAACCTCTCGTCCTCATTTTTTGGTTTTGCCCCAAGAGAAAGGAGAGGGAAAACACTCTTCAAATCGGCATTTCCCTTGCAAGTGTTTTCTTTTCTCCACCACAGAAGCTATCACTCGATCACTAGAAATGGTGGTTTTCATTCTCTTCTCTTCGAACCAGAGCAGTAGAGACAACATCAAATCTGAGCAGGGTCTATCAGAAAGAAAGGTCCAAATTATCGCCTTATCAGAAATGCGAAGAGTATAATTATCAAAAAAAAAAAATGCAAAGAGTATTGAGAAGGCAATTTTAAGAGACTTTATGAGATTATGCATGGATATAGCATGAAAATTAAGATACACATTAATAAGCTACATACACATAATATACACATAAGAACATACGTTTTAGTAGTTTATATGAAGTGTTAACTACTAGGATATGCCATGAAAACATTGTAAATGGTAGAATAATTAAAATACGACATAAAATTACTAATTTTACTAAGTGAAATTAGTAGTAATTGTTTTATGTTTTTTTTTTTTTTTGAATTTTTGATTCTTTTTGATAAGTGAAAAAAATAAAGCACTAAGAACCCAAAAAGATACAATCACGAAGTTTTCATATTTTTATTGATATAATGTTAATAAGGAAAAGTTGATAAGACCGGATAGAAGCTAAAGCTTAAAGAACATTCCATTTTGACAAATTGTAGTATTATAGTTTGGTGGAATCTTCCTCATTCATCTGGGTGACTTGTGTTTGAATCTTGGCGACTTCATTTACATATACATATGATTTTAAACAATATTAATTAACAAAGTAATTCAAATATGAAATAGGTAGGTATATATCAGTTCAGAATGCATGATTGAATAAGGGATTATAACAAGTGACATAGTTTGTAATGGTTAATACGAGTTTGGAACAATTTGAGTATCAATTATAAATATTGTTTATTATGAGTTTGTAATGGTTTATACAAATCGAGTATCAATCCATAAGAGTGAGTACGAACTATGCATTTTTGTATAGTAAGTTCATAACAGTTCGATTGAATAAGGGTTTGTGTCAGTTGAGTATGGGTTTATAACAGTTTGTAGCAATTGAGCATTGGAATTTTGCAAAACCCCTATTTCCTATTACACCACGTATAAATCATTTGAAAAACCAATAAATAGAGAGCCATGCATATAGAAGGTCCATGTCCATTTTGAACAATCCCAGGAAGAAACTCAAGCAAGTCTTACCATTTGTTTTTATGGTGATAAGAAAGGGAAGACTAACAAGAAGGAAAAGCAGCAAGCTAGAGAAAACAACTCTTGCGCAGGGGGCTAATGTAAGGGGATAGGCTTATATAATACTAAAGTATCACTGCGGACCTGCCACAGTAACAATATTACAAGTTCCGCAGTCATGTAGTTAGTAGTACTACTCTAAAGAGGACAACGGATTCTCCCTACAGAGGCTAGTCGCAGATAATCTACGAACTTAAACTCCAAACCTGCATATGCCTTTTGAGAGACACAAGACAAAGAAACTGCAGCTTAGGGAACAGAATAACTGAAAAGCTGATTGTATGAAAAATACTGTGTCCCCCGAGAGACACATAGTAGAAGATTGTGGGCATGGAAATCAGAGCGAATATATTCCCTGTGTCACAGTCTGACACATGTCCTCATGGGAGGAACCTAAGGACTTGAGCCCTCAACTACCTGAAGAATATTCTTGAATTCTTGGTCCTTAGAAGGCTCTTGACCACTTAGGGAATATTCTAGAATTCTTGCTCATGCACAAATTGAACCCTCCCTCATCTATATATAAGCAGGGTACATGACGTAAAAAAGGACCTTTCCATTGATTCCACCATTCTTAGTCTTCAAGTTAATTCCTTCTGCTCAGACTTGAGTAACTCTCTGAGCTCTCTAACCCTAGCATCAACTCGTCCTTCTATTCTCTAAGACTTCCATTTTTATCTCTCTGAACCAGTCTCGTCTCTGATGTCATTATTCTCTTCAGCATCCAACTATCTCCAGAACTTAGACCGTTTTACAATGCCAAGCCTACAGTATGGATTATGCTAACCTTGCTGATTCTTGAGAGATACTCCTTGAAACATTTTCTTTTTTTTTTCCAAATTTTACACAAGTTAATAACTAAACTCCAGTGTTGTTAATAGAATGTTGCTTAAGTAACAAAGATAAACTTTAGACCTTTCTGTAGGTATATGATGTTAGAATTCAAAATATATGGACTACTTTAACAGTATTTACTTTTCTGCAGACTTGTCTGCAACTCCACTTTTACTCTCGCCGAGTCAGAGAGAGACATTGGGTTCTGATTCCCATGTCTGTCTCCATGGAACATGACTGAATTGAGCCCAACTGAAACCTGGACCTAATAGAACCTACTAGCATTGGGATCAGGTTGGGTTGGACAACAAAGGTGTCCAGTTTCTTCAGCTTGTATTCAAACTTTTGGTGAGCTTTATTCCACCTGAGGTTCCTTGTAACAAGAAAAAAGGAAGAAAAGGTATTTTTCTATCTAATAGGTTTGAACTTTTAAGCAGCTGCAACTCAAAAGGCCCAAATACTTGCTTTAATTTGGGCAGCCCAGTACATGAGGCTCCCGCCAATGTGGGGTCTGGGGAGGGACGGATGTACGCAGCCTTACCCCTGGCATGTACAGAGAGTCTGTTTCCAAAAATGTTTGCTTTAATTTATGGGCAACTAATCTAATTAAATATCCCCAATGCAATGCTTAAAACGGCCCTAATACTTCTTGCTTAACCCATTAAAGATCTATTCTGACATGATCATTCCTCACTTTCTCTTAGAAGGGCCCTAGATTCAGAACTTGCACCTTGGTCCTGGACACACTTTGAACAGCAAAACTGTCAGACTGTGACAAACAAGGTTGTTCTTTTTCTTTCTCTTTCATTTATGTGTGTGTGTTTCATGTGTCTGATCTGCTATGCACAAAAAATTCGTGGATCAGATGGTTAACTCAAAGTAAAGGTCCTGCCTGATAATGTGAAGAGCAGAGTTTAAGAGGAAGTTAGAAATTCAGATGAAGTATTCTCAATATCGAAACTAAAATTTAACTTAATTGAGATTCCAATAATCCTATATCTCAGTTTTAAGTAGAAACCTCATACAGATAGACTTAATTAGGATGTTTACAACTACCACAGTAGCAGAACAGAAAAATTACTATTTTTATATACCTCTAAACAAGATGTTTTCTTTCCCTTGACACTTTGGTGAAATACCATTATATACAAGAAATAAAAAATGGAACGAAATATTTTTCTAGAGGAAATGACAAAAGGTACAAACTATAATGCAACTTGATTACTACCAACTGATGGTGGATTAGTTGGTAAGGTCTCTGGCTTGTTGCAACAGACATGGGATCAATTCCCGCTGCCACCAGAGTTGTGGGATGGGTTACTCCCCATCGTGTAACATGAACCAAATAAAAATAATGTAACTGAGTGAATAAAAAATATGTTTCTATACAGGGCTGCTCTTATTCTCTTAAGTCGGTACACAAGCTGTAAATGGAGTAAAGTGATCGTAAGAGTTGCATGAAAGACTCACCAATATCAAGTATGGACTGAAAGATGACTAATTGATGGGCCTTCAACTGGAGCCAGTATCAAGTACAGGAAGCCTACAGTGTAAACTGATTGACTTATCTGTCTGCCTTGTTCCTGGAATAAAGAACTGGAATATCACGGTCAAGCAACCACCTTGTGCAGCTATACCTGCAAAGAAAATAAGAAAAACAAATATCTAAAAAAGAAAAGATAAAAAATCTCATTATTATATTTTCTGAAAAGAGAAAGAATATTTGTCATAATTTCTAATCAACTTATGACTTGACTGAGGTAGTAGGTTTCTGTCAGCCATATCTAATACGGGTAAGTTTTACAAAAATTACATTAAATGCCTATCAACTCAACCGACTCTTTTGCAATGTTGATGGTGATGGTTTATCCAGGATTGGTGCAAGAAGGGCATTTTTTGGACACTGATAGTTATTTTCCCTTTAGTCATTTGGTTGAGAATGGGGCTATAATTGTTCTTCATGTAAATCTGCAAATCCTCTTATTTACATTGGTCTCTCTTTTCAACAAAAAGCAGTTGCATTTTTTCAAAAAAATAAATAAATAAAAAAACTATGCTCTTTCAAGTCAGCTAACACTTTTGAATATTGCATGAACTTTAGATCATGTAGCAGTATAATAGGAAAGGTAAGGTGGAAGCAATTTCAGAGGGGGGAAGCGGTTTATGAAAGGAAAAAGGCAATACAGAACAAGACTGCTAGATGATTCTGGCAATTGGGAAAAGGGTGCAGAGGGAGATCAAAACCAGATGGGAGAGATAGAGATGGATGAAACACATTCAGTCCAGGGATCAATCAACTGGGAGACTGTGGTGAATAGGGAGATGGGAGAGAGCAAGATATTGGGGTTAGTTTTTTTAGGGGGTAAAGAATCTGTGGGAAGACTTTTCAAGAGTTGGAGGAGAAGGAGAGGGAGTTGACTAAGCTGGTTCATGATGAGGATGGATCCATTCAAGTGTGGAGTGGGTCCAAGATGGAATAGGGATTGTTGATTTTATTGGAGTGGAGAAAGAAGAAAGGAAGGGAGAAAATTCAAGACATTCGAAAAAAATATGGTTTTGGAGTTGGAAAGGGTTAATGATAGTTCTAAAAAAGTGAATTGGTTAAAAGAGGATAACTCAAGGATATGGAAGTACAGCAATGAAAAAAGAAAATTTAAGTGGCTGACTAAGGATGTTGAAATTCAGTACAAATGGGTTAAGAGAAGTGCAAACTCATTGGCAGATGGTTTAGCTAGGCAAGGGGTTAATAGGAACTCTTTGTTTTAGGCTTTATTGTAATTGCATTTGCTGTTCATAGACTGTTCTAGGGAGCTAAGATTGTTTAGCCCCCTTGCTTTGTATTTCTTCTTAATATTAATTAATACATTTCACAGTTATTGATCAAAAAAAAAAATAGTTCTAAAAAAGCAAGGGTTTCTAAAAAGAATCTCAATGCAGTGAAATGGTTCAAAAGGCATAAACAGCAACAAACTATTCCAGTGTCTAAAGGGTTTGCTAGGTTGAAAGGAGGGTGTGTTTGGTTTGGGGCCAATAAAAAATGAAGAAAATTAATCATAAAAAAAATGATGATTAAAAAAGTCTTGAAGACAAATGAGGAGGTTATGACTTTTGCTACTGAAGCTGCTGATTAATTAATAAAATTTAATTGCTGGTTGGTGGTGGTTGAAGATAAGTTATACTTTAGGTGGAAGGGGTAGGGTGAGTTGTTTGGGTGGGTGTTTGGTTTTTTTTTCTCTCAGCTGATTTCTTATCAGTTATCACCTTCCTTGTACTCTTCGTTTTTGTTTTAATATTTTTTTTTACTACCATAAAAAAATAGGAATATGGGATGATTTCTGTGGAGAATATACCATAAAAAGCAGAATCTGGCTTTGTCAAATGACATTGTAGGCTCTTTGCAAAGTGCTTCATGCTTACTTGCTGTCCAAACTCATCCGAAAACAGGAATTGGTCATTAGTTAGTTAAAATAGCATATATAAATGATAATATTTCAATTAAACATAAATGGCTAGGGATGTCAATGTTCCAGATCAACCTGATAGACCTGAAACAGTTTGATCACAGGACTAGTTTGCATTTTTGAGTCCCAATGGTTCTGAATCCATATTTTGTGTCCCAATCATAATAGGGTCAGGATTGAGTGTACCTGTTATGACCCAATTAAGACCTGAACAGATATATAATGGTAAAAATCTTGGTCTGACAAGCATAAGAACACAAGTTTTAGTCTGAAGCAGCCATTTTGTGCAAAAACAATACCAAAGGTTGGGTCTGTATCCAGCCCACCCTTACAAAGACCCCAGATAGTTGGGCCAACATTGGATAGTGGCCCTTATGTATGTAAAAATATTCTTCTCATGGTTTTCTTGAATTAAGATATTTTGATTAATAGACCCAGAACCAAATGGGTTAGTTGTTCTATTTTCAGTTCAGAACTGGGAACTGAGTCTACCTGACCCAGCCCAGACCTGACCAATTGACAGTCCTAACAATGGTTCGAGATGAGACAATAACAGTGAAATGGCAATCAGATATCAGGGTTGTTGACAAGACATTTGTTGTAGCCAAAATTATGTATTTGAATTATTAAATTCAAACTTTCCAGATGATAAAGCACAGATAAACTGTAAGTCAGTTTTATCTAACAAACTTGCATAGATAGGTATGATGGACTTTCAGTTCAAAAAGAGGATGGTACAAACCACAGACAGTGCTTCTCCCCTTTGTTTGGCCATCTCTGTGCGAGATTGAGCACTTGCACCTCCGTCTCCAGCTGGAGCTTCCACTGGAAAGGAAATGAAACACCAGAAATTTGTCAAACAAGGAAAGTATAGCAGCATGTGCAACTCATTATATTAACAATGGATTGGAAAAAGATCTTTCTTTAATTACCTCTGACTCCAATAACTCTCAATTTCTGGAACTCAGCACCAACAGTGATTAGGGTAGTGGAGACTTGTAAATGGAGATCCCCATACTGGGTTATGGAGACATTAAGTAGGTCTCCCACATGCTTGAGACGGTCCACAAAATTTTGTAACTGAAGTAAATCAGGTACCTGAACCAGAGTCTGAGGAGGGAAACTCAACATACATAAACTATGATTTATCCAGCTTGCCTGTGGAAAAAAATGGGTTGGGGTTGGGAAGGAAAAGAAATGAAAATGATACCTGGGGCAGGTCCTGTGCCATGTCTAGAGCAGATTGAAGTTCCATAACATCAGCTCTGGAAAGAGGCTTAGAAATGGGAACATCTTGAACTACTGCTGATTTATAACCCTGTACAAGGCCATCAATTGGAGTATGGCATCAATAGCCTTTTCCACCATAATTTTCTTTTTTTTTTTTGAGCAAAATTAAAGTATAATTGTATTAATGAAAAGGTCCTTTGTACAATGAGAAGCTGTACAAAAAAGACAGAAGGACCTCAAAAGGTCATCCTCCAAAAATTACAGTTAGAAGTAACCTCTTTAAAGTCAGCAAGAATAGACAACCAATTTCTAACAAAGCCTAAAGCCATATTGATGATTTCTTCTGAAGAGAATTTGAGATAAAAAACCCTGCTATTCCTTTCTGTCCATACCGCCCATAAAATTGCTAAGGGAATAGAAGACCAGCACCTCTTTCCTTTTTTTGTCATCCCTTGGATCTGCTACGCCTCCAGGCAAGCTTTAACTGAGGCAGACATACACCAACTTAACCCTTAAGAAGTGGTTCCAGATTTTTGTAACAAAATTGTAGTGTAAAAACTGATGGTTTATTGATTCTGTAGACACACCACAGAGCTACACCTCAGATCACTACAGTTAAAACCTTTCTTCACCAACATCTCTTTAGAGAGACTTCTCTAAAGCTGCCACCCAAACAAAGAACTTGACTTTGGAGGGTGCCACAGTCCTCCAGATAGCCCAGCTAGGGAAGAGGGATTCAGATCCTCCCACTATGGAGCTGTAGAAGGATTTAACTGAAAACTCCCCACTTCTGTTCCATCTCCACATTAGGGAATCCTCGGATTGCAGATTCAACACCTGAGACTGAAGCAAAGCTAGGAGATTTCCAACCTGCTGAATCTCCCAGTCACTGAAATCCCTTCTAAAGGCTGGAACCCAGCATATAGGATTGTCCCTTCACACAAAGGTATCAGCTACCATTGCCTCTTTATCTTCAGCCAGACTGAACAGGGTGGGAAACAGCTCCTTAAGAGAACTCTCCCCAGTCCAGGGATCCACCCAGAACTCTCCCCACCATAAAATTATTTGTTGAAAAGATGTATCCTTTTTATTATTTTGCAAAGAAAAAAAATATATTAGGCAGACTGGATACCCTCCTAACCTTGGGCATTTCTTTTGCACTAAGTGATTGCTCTCAGAATCAAATCCACGTTCTCATGCTTTCCAGCCCAGTATTTTACCATTAGACCAAGCAATGGCCCCAATGAAGTCTGGAATTAAAAAAAAAAAAAAAAAAACTTCTCCATGTATGCAAAAAAATCGCCCATGCCCAAGAAAAATGGCTAAAAACATAAGCGATGAATAAGAAATATCTCTTAACTCCTATTTTACCGACAGATACAAGCACACTAGTGCCACTACCTTCCTAATTACTTCTATCTGAGATACTTTATTGTCAAAAATCCTATTATTCCTTTCCTTCCAATTACCAGGTACCCCAATTTGCCACCCTGCCACCTTCTCTTGCAAAGTTTAGGGAAAACACCAATTAAGATTGAATAGTTGCAAGAAAGGAACCCAAATATTGTAATGAAAAATGGAATCATAGTTCAGGTTCAGGTTGACTTAAATTTAATGAAATGCTTAATGCCAACTTGGCCGTCTGAGGCTGCTCCATAAAATGGAGCCATTGTCCTCCCTTTGTTGGTTGGATACTTCAATTGTAAAAAATGCAAAATGAGAGGAAATTCCTATGGTAGGAAGCATGCCCACCCATAGTCTTTCCCATTTTGAACTTTGGTGGCCTTACCCAGAACTACAGTGCACTGGACAGACGAGATTAAAGGAATCCCCAAATCAAACACTGAGAGTCCATAAGACCAGAAATATACGGAAGTTGTATAAGAACCATGCAGAAATCATTTAAAAATCGAATCTTCCGGAGTCCATATCTGTTGGGGTTAATAAAGTAAGAAGTTACAAATATTGGAACATGTAAGGTGACTTGTTATCTGTGGGCAGAGTGGGCATGCCATTTATCGAACACTTGGTGGAGTAGAAGATGCAAAGAGAAGGATAGATTACAACCTTCGTCTCGAAGGTGAGGAAAGGCATGGGCTGGCGGGAATTGGATGGCAACTTCTTGACGAGCTTAATTTGAAGGCGGTTGGAGGCGGCAGAGCCACCAGTAGGACCCTCGAGGCTGATGCTGACGCTGCTACGGAGGGCACGATGAAGGAGGCCAAGATCGATGACGAAGGCAATTCTGTCGTCGTTCTGGCTGGAAATGCGGTAGTCGTCAAAGAGGGCCTCCTTGCGGAACTGGGCGATGCACTGGACACCGTCGCCGTTGAGGAGGTTGTGGAGGAAAATGGCGTGGTCTCGGGTGAGGTAAAGATGACACACCCTTCCCATCTTGTCCAGTGCAGGTAAGAACCCTGTTCTTTTCATCATCACACTCCATAGTTAGCGTATCAAGTCGTGATTCATCCGTAGTCCGTTGAGAGGTACAAAAAAGTAAGAAAAAAATTATGAGAGAAGCAATGAAGCATTCCAAATTAAACTTACTCTTTTCTAGAAGGTGAACTCCATTGTCAGTTAAGAATGCTTTGAACTTCATCTCTCTTCTTCTTCTTCTCCTTCTGCGTCTATCCTTCACTACTCTACAGTTTATACTCAAGTGTGATTCGTTCTTCGCGCCTTTTAATTCGGAATGCAACAGCCAAAAGGCGATGCAGGGACAGTTTGGGAGGGTTGAGATGAAGGGGATAACGGGATCTGGCGATCTGATCACAACAGAAACCGTCCAAACCCGCTTCATGATCTGCGTTCGTACATTTCACCATGAGATTGGGACCCACCAATGTCTGTGATGTGATGTATTGATGGATATGTTGGAATGAATTGGAACATTTTATGTTGTGAGCATATCCGACCACGAGCCGAAGATCCAGTTAAGCATGTCCGGCTGATTTGAATCGCTCCGGATAAGCTGCACTGACCTGCACAAATAAACGAATTCGGATCAGCTGAACGCGATGGCGGTTCAGTACGCTGTCGAACCAATGACGAGGTTTTACGCCGGTGATGAATTCATGGGCCCCACTGTAAAAGGTGCGAGCCCAATGTATTTTAAGACTTACTTTGAACTTTATCATTGGTTCCACAACCTGATGAACAGTCATTGTGTTCGACAAAACCTTGCTCCAAATAAACTCATATAGCGCACCTCCCGTTGGCTTACATCCTATGAATTCATATCTATGCCCCACAAACGCCCCACATTATATTCCAATCGTGTATTGAGAACATTTCCCATTATCAACTTCCATAAATGTTTCCAATGCACGTTGAGATGTGCATGTAAGACGTTTTTGGGGCACAGATGTGCTCTTACATCCCACAGTGCATCGATAGCATCTCTCATGAAAAATAATACAAAAGTATGGGAAATGTTCCATATACATGGTGGGGTGTGCATGTGAGGTCGGTGTGAGGAGCAAAGTTGGACTTATCCCAAACAATGTTCTCTAAAGTTTGTGTTAGGGTCAATCTCTTGAAACCCTTCATTCTCTAAACCCCTTTAACTTTGGAAGGGGAGGAAAATAATATTAAAGTTTTCTATAAGAATATCTATGATCTATGCACTAATTGTGGTTGGAGGGGACACAAGGCCTTTGATTGCCCAAAATTGGTAAAAACAAAGCAAAATGATGGATGAATAACGGTCGATAGAAACATGAATCACAACCACACTAAAAATCCCATTGTGGGGAAAAAATTCACAAGGCATACAAGTGCTGATTGGAATAGAGAAAAGGTATGGGCAAACAAATAGAAATTGAACACATAAAAAAAAAATCAGAGAGTGGATTGAGCTAAAGAGTTCTCCAGAGCTAGATTCATAAATGTCGGCCATGCTACCACTAAACCACAAAATTCTAGCACCAATATAAGTTGGGTTCAAAAGACTAAGGATGATGGAAGCAAAAGAAACAATGACAATGAACTAGTTGATTTCCGAAGTACCATCTCTCTTAACATTAGTGAAGGTGGTAATAATGAACTGATGAGACATAAAGGTGATAATATTAAAAGCCAAGGGAAAAACACAGTTGATGAGGATGAAGAAGTCAGTAGGGGTGAGGACCAAGGTTTTTAAAATTGAATTGGACAACGAACCGGTCAGGGGGTCCAGTTCTTGGGTTGAACGGTCTAATCATTCGAACAGAATGGATGGCTCATTTTGACAAAAAAAAATAAAATAAATAAAAATAGCCAAAACCGTTGGACAGATCGAATGGTTCGACCGCCTAGGCCAGCGGTTTGTTGACCAAATCAATGATTTTTGGCAAAATAACAATTCTGGGGTAAAACAGAACCGATCACCTAACTGGTTCCCAGTTTTTCCGGTCTGATTGTCTGATTTGGTCCGGTTTTGAAAACCATGGCGAGGACAATGATGATGGAGAGGATGATAAAAACAACATAGAGTATGATAAAAACAACAGGGTAGATGAGATATACAAGAAACAGTTGCAGATTAAGGAGAAGATGAATGCTGAAGAGGACAACATGAGTCCAGGTTCCACGCAAGTTACAAATGAAGCTACTTAGCTAGAATGTAAGAGGACATGAAGGCCTTGGTTGCAACATCATGTTGCTAACATTATTAAAACTTATAAACATAGTACTTGTTTTTTTATGGAAACAAGAGTTAATCCCGACCACATAAGAAAAATTTTTAGAACCTTTAAATATGATGACTTTTTTCTTATTAATCCTACTGATTTCTTGAGGGGGCTTTGGATTTTATGGGATCAAAGTCAATGTAACCTACAATTTATTTTGTCAAATGTTAGACTAGCCCATTTTCTCATAAATGAGCAATCCTCTAATAAATATTGGTTATGTACTTTATTTATGCACATCCAAATAAAAATGAGCAAAGAATAGTATGGAGTTAGATCCTTTGAAAACAAAGAGAGGGAGGAGAGGTTCATCCTAGCCAAATCCGTGCCTTTAAGGAATTTATGTCTGATTGCAATCTTATGGAATTAGACATGAAAGGAATCAATATATGTGGAAAAACAAATATACCATGGAGAGGCTTGACTGGGTTCTTGTCAATGATTCTTGGAAAAACAAATATACCCCTCCTCCTTCATAGTGATTTAACTACTAGTTTGGGACCCAAACCATTTAGGTTTGAATCAATGTTGTGTGTCGACCCAAATATTGTTGATGTGGTGATTCAAGCTTGGAACCAAGAGGAAAATGGATCGAGAGCTATGTAATTTGTAAGAAAAAGAAACAATCTAGTTAAAATTTTAAATGAATGGAATAGAAAGCAAGTCAATGATATATTAATCAACAAGAAAACTTTAAGTAGAAGATTGAGAAAGCCCAAAATAAGATATCTAGGGATCCTTATAATTATAAATTGGTTAATTATGAAGGGACTCTCCAAAAATAGCTAGATAAGATCCTTGCTCGTGAGGAAGCATATTAGGTCTAGAGGTCTTGAATAAATTTAACAAATTGGATTAATTTCCATACTACAACCACCATTAGAAGATCTAGGAATAGGATTATGGGGGTGAAAATTGATGAAGGATCTTGGATTGATAGTCATACAACTAACTGCATCCAACTATTTTTCTAACAAATTTGAACAAGGATTCAAATATGAGGGAGGTAGTGGACTTTTTTTTTTTTTTTTGATAATACTAGGAGGTGCTACACAAGACTGGGAGGAGGGGGGTAGCATGACCTCACAAATCCCTCTAGAAAATTAAACCAAGGCTCCAAGGGGAATTACACTGATTAAATGAAATACATCCATTGTTAGATGAAAGAGCTTCCCTAGTAATCCAGTTTGCTACTTGATTCGCCTCTTTGAAAACATATGTATATATTCCACACCTTGTGTGAGTTGTTCTCTAACCAATAAGCATTATTTAACAATGTTTCTAAGGGTCCAAGGCGGATACACTTGACCTTTTAGACAAGAAATGACTAAACTTGAGTCCCCTTCAATAATAATAGCTTGATCCGCAAAGTTTGCAACCAAATTATGGGCTTCCCACGCTACCTACACTTCAACAACGTTGATGGTCGAGATACCAAGATTGTAGCCTTTGAAATCCACAATACTATCCAGGTGATTTCTAGCAACCACAGCTACATAACAAACCCCAAAGCTCGAACAAGATACATTGAAGTTGATTTTGATCGTACCAGGCTCTGGGGGAAGCCAAACAACATCCAACCATTTTTTCTTCACTCTAGTAGTGCCTGAAACCTACAAACGGTTAGAAAACTCACACCAATTTTTGGAAGTATTATCAACAACTACTTGAGGATGGGTTGTAGCAATGGAAAATGTCTTCTGATTTTTGTTTTTCCACAATTGCCATAGAATGTAAACACTCTTTTCTAATACATTATTATTGTTATTCTGATCAGCATCATAAACTCTAGTCCACCACTCACAATATTCCACACCTGCTATCCCTAGAAATATGGAAGATATCTTCTTCCTCCCAATAGAAGTTACACCCACCATCAATGTTACACCTTTTGCCATCAGTAGGATCTTCATGAGGAGCTTATCATTTAGAACTAGATAAAGAAAGATCTTAAGTTTTGGTTGGCATCTCAGGTTCCAAATAAGAGTTCTCCATTTGACATTACAATCTTTGCTGGCAGTCAAGCTGCACTTGAGCTTATATGTAGTTTTCATCGAAAAGTCACCATTAGAATTTAATCTCCATATTAACCTATCTTCAACATCATTCGAGGGGATAAAAATGGACCTTATTTTATTCCACAGAACAGGAGGTACAAGGCTACAAATTTTATCTTCCCTCTAGATTTTCCTTTCAAAGATTTTCCTCTACACCTTGGGGAATAGTAAGATTCTCACTTATGGCGGAATTGTCCATCCATCTATCATTCTAGAAGTTAGTGGAACTCTCATTCCCCACTTTCCATCTCAACCCCCTTTTTAGAATATCTCTTGCATAGAGGATCCCCCTCCAGGCCCACGAAATCCTTTTATCCATTTTGGCATTCCAAATATTATCTTTTTGTAAATATTTTCCCCTTACCATCTTAACCCACAAATTATTATCCTCATTGAGGATTTTCCAACCCAATTTTGCTATGCTGGCCTCTTTGACCCACTGAAGGTTTAAGAGCCCCAAACCTCCCCAGATTCTCGGGGAGCACACTCTCTTCCAAATAATAAGATGAATTTTGTTGAAGTTTGGAATTTGACTTGAGGCCTTAGCAAAATTCTACAAAATATCTTTAATTTTCCCACATGTTGTGATTGTAGATTCAACAAATATTAGGCAATCATCTGCAAACTGAAGGATTGGAATCTTAGGACATCCCCTACCAACCTTAGTTCCAATCGGACTGCAAGGAATTTCAAATTCCTTAGAAAGCTTTTTTGATAGAGTTTTTGCACACAGACTCGGGGTACCATTAACCAAAGCCTAGAATGACAGTTTTGATACATTTCATAACCCACCTAACCCATCTTTCATAAAATCCAAAATATTTAAGAATTTTCTCTATAAATTCCCACTTGAGCCTATCATAGGCTTTTCTCCATGTCAATGTTGCAAGCCATGATATCTTTTTTCCTTTTTTTTTTAATTTTTCATAGAGCGAATCATCTCATAAGCTATCAAAATGTTATCATTGTTTTGTCTATTAGGCATGAAAGCACTTTGAAATGGAGAAATAATATTTTCAAAAAACAGCTTTATTCTGTTAACCAGAATTTTTGTTATCACCTTATAAATAATGTTGCATAAACCGATGGGTTTGTAATTATTAATAGGCTCAAGGTTATCAGTTTTTGGGATGAGAGTTATGAAATTTTTGTTCAAAATTGGGTATATCTTACCAAAGTGGAAGAACTCTCTAATCACCTCACACACCTAATCCTTAATAGTGTTCCAAAAAGTTTTAAAGAATAACGC